GGGAAGAGCAGAGACCTACCCACGGCTCTCTGTCCCACATTGTGCCACCGAGTCCTCCTGGCAAGCCTTGACCCCCTGGCCATCCGTATTTGTCCCTGGACACCCAGCTGACCGGCAGGGATGGGCCATCCCCACGGGACAGTGTGCTCCTGCCTTGGCCCCAGGGGACAGCGCCCGCAGCCACACCTGCTCACTGCTGCCTCTCCCGGGCGTCTACAACCTCAGATGCGCACCGGAACCTACCACCCATCCCTGGGACCCCCACGTGCGTACTCATGCCCGGAAGGGAACATATCCAAAATCAGCAGAGGCTGGCAGCCCCCCCACCGCCACCCCCGCTGCGTCCGGGCTTCCAGATCCCTGCCACCTGTCTGCCCCGCCCCCACCCCCTACTTAACTCTCTTTCTGGGCTGGTACCTCTAGCACCTGCTTCCGGACGCTTGCTCCTGGCCCTCCACGCTTGTCTTTATGTATTAGCTGCAGCAGAATTTTGGGGCGGGCTGATATCACCATCTGGGAGGCCATCCAAGGAGCTGGTGGTTGAAATCCTGGGCAAAACCCCCAAGGACGGGCAGCAGCATACCGGGCCACGGCCGAGATGCCTCTGACGCAACCCATGGGCTCTTAAAGGGCCAGGCCCGGGGCCAGGGTGAGGCCGGCCGGGTGCCTGGGTGCCTGGTGCACAGCAGGAGGCCGGACACACGCAAAGACAGCACGCTCGCGTTCCCCTCAGCAGCGCCGGGGCCGCATCTCCATGCTGCACCCTTGCCAGCAGACGGGGCAGCTGAAGAAAAGCACCCCACCGACTTCACAGATGCAGTGACCCTGCCGAAATTCTATCCCCGGCTTCCTGTGACACGGCCACACCGAGGTCAAGACCAGCCATGCCCGCGGGGACACCGAATCCTCAGAGGCTCACGTGGCAGCTTATCACCATCTCCCTTATAATATATTAAGAAGAGCAAGAGAGACGGGTGCCCAGTGATGCCAGCTGGGCACATTCACCTGGGCACGGACAAGGTGGCGCTGCCCATACACAGGAAAAGAGACACACCTGTGTGGTGCCTGGGTCAGGCCTCAGAGGTCCCCTCTTGCTGGGGATATATGACCCCCGGGCACAGACACCCAGCCTGCGGTGTCCAGTTCTTCCTAGCACAGAGGCGCGTGGGTTTGAAATAACCATTAGGCCCCCAAATGCTACAGGAAAGGCTGAGTGCCCTTCAGTCGACCCAGGAGGGCTGGGGAAGGTGGGCCAGTAGCCAGAGATCCCTATCGCTCAAGCAGGAGAGGCTGTGTTATAGAGAGGCCATGGCCACCTGGCGGACAGGGTCCCAGGCTGGCCGCGGGTGCCATCCGGAGTCAGAATCCCAGCTCGGCCACTTCCTGGCCAGGTGACCTCAGGCAGGTGACTTCACCTGGCTGAGCCTCTGTTTCCTCATCTCTAAAGCGTGAGCCTGAGTAATCCCTGTGCCACGGAGATGTTTATAGATTCCGGCCGCACATCTGTCTAATCAAGCACTCAACCCGTTAGACTCCCGGAGATGCTGTATGTCCAGCACTGGGCAAGGAGCAAAGGTGCAACCCAAGTCATTTGGTTAAAGATCCTGGCCTCTGGCCAATTCAAGATGCAGCCCTCGCTGCCCTCCACGCTCCTGCTCGGTCGCAAGGAAAGGGGCACTCTGAGGGGCACCCATCCGGCCCCGTCGCTTCTCTCTGTCCCTGTGGGAAACTGGAGAGAATCTGTCCTGTTGCCATATAAGGCCAGGCCTGGCTGGCCCGGGGTCACCTGCCATGCCTCCGAGGCGCAGGGAATGTCAGCTATGTGGGGGGTGGGGGGTAGGAGGCGCTCACGGGTCCTGCCCGCTCCAGTAGTGCGGAGAATGCACCCACAAGCACGCGCACTCACGCACACGCGTGGCAGAGACAAGCAGGCTGGCTTCAGTCTATGCTGTTTAAACCCGGGCAGTTTACTCAGTGCCCCCACCCCCACCCTCAGTCTTGTTTTCTGTAAAATGGGAACAGACACTCATGGGATTAGAGTGAGTGTGCCAGGAGATCATGCCTGAAGAGCTCCCGAACCCTGCCTGGCACACTCCAAGTGCTCAGAAAATGATCAAGAAAACTAGAGCGGAACCAAAAGAAAAAGTGCATTTCCAGGCAGCTATCCAGGCCCTCCAGGCCCACCAAGTCTCCTAGTTTTTATTCCTGACCCTTGTAACAGCAATAGCTACGACCGAGATACCCTGCTACCCCCTGGAAGTTGGCCCAGCCTGGAGGGGTGCGGGGGTGGGGGGAAGGCCCCAGAGCCTCCCAGAGGGAACTGGGAGGTTGGCCCAGAGAAGCCCCCAGAGCTGCCAGGCAGGCTGGGCTCTGCCCCAGGCAGCGGCCGCAGGGTATTCAAACACATGCAGCGAGGGAGTCCTGAAGCCCCATCCTGCATGCGTCCCTGCTTCCGCAGGGCCTCTAGGAAACTGCTCGGGCCGGCCCCCCCATTCACTGCTCCAATGGGGGCGGTGAAGCTACACCCCAAAGAAAGGCAGTCTGAACTGCCAAGATTCCCTCTAGAATCTGCCCACCCGAGGGAACTTCTGCTGCGGTCACGGTCATGGGTGAAGCAGACTCAGACCCTCAAAGCGGAGCGACTCCCTTAGAGTCTGCAAAGAGCTTCTGTCTGTCTGCTCATCTCCACTGACTGTCCTAGGGACTCGGAACAGAGCAGGGATCACTGCTCCCTGAATTCCAGGCAGGGAAGACTCAGGTTCCGCCAGATGAAAGGATCTGGCCCAAGCTGGGCAGCCAGCAGGGGCTGCTGCATGTCTCAGACCTTGCCCCTGGGTTCTACTCCGTGCATCTTTCCACACCAAACAAACCGATGATAATAATCAGGACAACAGCCAGCTCTCTCATGTGCTTTACATAGATTATCTCCCTGAAAAATCACAATGAACTACCATTATCTCATGTGGCTTGCCCAAGGTCATAGAGCCAGAGAGCACTCTGCTCACCCCTTCACCTCCACTCATAACTCCACACTGGTGGGGCCGCCTTGACCACCCTCAGCGGGAAGCAGCTCAGACTTCTGGTTTGGTCCTGGAGTCCCGTCTCTGGTTTGATCCAGCAGCAGCCTGGGTTCACACGACACATCTGGGCAGGTAAAGGAAGCTAGCTCTGCTTCTGTGTGGCGTTAGCCAGTCGCCTGCCCTCTCTGGGCCTAGGGGTCCCAAAGTGGTTATATACGCACCCTCCTTGCTCACCTTCCCTGGTCTCAGCACTGTCCAGATCGGCCCCTGAGAGCCACAGCCCTTCTACCTTCTGAGCCAAGCCAGCCCACATCCCCAAACAACCCGGCAGCTCACCCCCCACCCTGATTTGCACCCCCAAGGGTGGGACTGGCACAGAAAGTCCCACACATTCTCAGTGCCTCTGGTTTGTCTGACATCCCCCCCCCCATCTCCAGTTGTCTCCGGCTCAGGGTTCTGCTGGCTGTGGGTGGACACAGCCAGCTCGGAACCCGCCCGGCCGAGTGGCCCAGGGGGCTGTATGAGGTCAGGGTTCCAGGCTCCTGTCCAGAGGGCAAGAGCAGCCAAGGCCAAGGGCGGGCTGGCTGCAGACTAAACTGGAAGGCGGCCCAGCAGCTTGGACCCCTGAGAGCCCCAGCCAGATGTCCAGTCTCCCTTTCAGCTGTGCTCAAGATGGCACCAAGAGGCAGGGCAACGAAGGCAAAGAGGAGCCCAGAGTTTACTTGGAGGGACCCTGGGTCCCCAGAGCCCTGCATGGGATCCCTATAGCCAGTGGGGTGAAATCAGATAGGCTGCCTAGTTCCAGATGCTAAAAAAAAAAAAATCAAGGAGGAAATCAAGACTGCAAGCCACATCGAGAGGAAATACTACTGCCAAGGAGCAGCCCCTAGACCCACCTCCGCACAGCCTGGAGCCTGAGGACACTCACCCGCTTCCCATTCTGGGACTCGGAGCAGGGCTTGGACCTTGGGTGCCCAGCCACCGAGGGAGCCAGCAGGCGGAATGCCTAGCCTTGTTTCAGGGAGCCTGTTAGGAGTGACTCTGGGAGACGGCCTCAGGAAAGAATTCTAGCACCATCCACGGAAGCCTTCCCTCCTGCCAGGTGCTGGACCATGCCCACTACATGCTTGCCTCAGTGAGTCCCCATGGTGACCCCCACCCCGCGCTGGGAGTCCTTGCTGAAGGCCCCAGACCCAGTCCGTGATGGAGGCCAGGCCTGAGCCCAGGTCTCACGCAACCTCAAAGCTAGTGTGCTGCCCTTGAGCTCTGGCCAATCCAGGCAGGCCCTGACACTTTTCGTTATCTTCTAGAATGTACGTGCTCATTCGGCAAACGTTTATGGAGCCCCCATTGTGTGCCCAGCCACAGCAGGAAGGATTTCTTTATAGAGATCCACTAGGTCCGACAAGAAAAGCATCAAGTCTCTCAGAGAACCGTCCCTAGAAGTTGGAGTGAGAAAGAGCTGTGGGGTGGGGGAGGGGTGGGCACTTTCGGGGTGGGGGGAACGGAGCACTGGCCTGCAGCGTGGACCCCCTGGATCTCACAGCGGTTGCGGGGGGCTGGACTCTGGACTTGCTGTGCCATCTCGGGGCAGTCACCTCGCCTCTCTGAGCTGGGACACGTCGAGGGGGTCCCTCCCTGCGCCCAATCCTTGCAGCTGGTCCCAGGCGGGCTTCCGGGGAGCCCCGGCCCCGGCGGCCCCGGAGCTCCTGGGCGGGCCCTGCCTCCTCTAAGAGTAACGACTTGCAACCCGAGCCGCGGGAGCCCGGTGGGGAGGAGGAGGGAGAGGAGGGGGGACCTACCTGGAGGCAGAGGCACAGGGGCAGGGGCCGAGGGAAGAAACTGCGGAAGCCCCAAGGCAGAAGAGACGGGGGTGATGTCGCGCCGAGCACAGCCTCGCGGACGGAGGCGGGACCCGGGGCGGGGGGGTGGGGGACGCTCGGGGGAAACTCGCAAGCCGGCCGGGCGGCGCGCGCTTACCCGGTTGATCTCGGCCAGCCTCCTCTCCTGCCGGGCTTTGAGCAAGCCGAACGCCTTCCCTCCTGCAGGAGACAAAGAGGCGGCCCGGGAAGCGTGGGTCCCCCCGGGCCCCGCGCGGCCCACCCCGCGCGCGCAGGTGGCGGGCAGGGGACCCCGCGCCGGGGGCGGGGCAGGGGCGCGGGACGGCGCGGGGAGCGCGCGGCGCCTACCTTGGAACCTGTTGCTGAGCGCGACCGACATGGCGAGCACGGGGCTCCTCCCGCCGGCTCCGGGCTGGGCGGCCGCGGCGAGGGGCACGACCGCGACGGGACTGGCGCCTGGTCCGGACTCCGGCGGCGTGTGGCGGCCGCACCGAGGGGCGGAGGGATGGCGCGCGCGGCCGGACACACCCCTCCCGCCCTCCGCCTCCCCCCGCCCCGGGTCCTCCCGCCCGCCCCCCTCCCGCCCGGCCGCCGGCATCAAAGCGGCTATTATGCGGGGCGCCGCGCCCGCCGCCCGCCCCTCTGCTGGAGGACGCGGAAAATGCACAGCGCGGGGCCGCCCGTGAGCGCCTCCCGGCCTGCGCCTCCCGGGACCTCGACAAATCCCCCCCACCCCAGTCCCCCCGCCCCGGGCCGCGGTTTCCCCGGAAAAAAACTTGGGGACCATCTCCGTACGCGCTTGGGGGGTGGCCTTAAGGATCAAATGCCGTCCCGGCGGCAGGGAGCCAGCGTCCACCAGCCGGAGCTGCTAAGTTACCGCGGCCCTCTGCATCCCCGGTCTTTTATTTTTAACTCTTGAAACAAAAGTATGAAAACTTTCGGGGTTTTTTTTTTTTCCTGTTTGGAAAAATGCATAATGACAAAACGCCAGTCGGACATCAGTGACATCTTAAATCAAATGAGAATGGTCTCATGTTTTGTTAATAAAATCTATTTCTTTAAAAAAATATATTTTACTTGAAAGAGAAACGTGTAAGGGGGGCAAGGGGGCAGGGGGAGAAAGAGAGAGAAGGAGAGAGAATCCAAAGCAGGCTCATCACTCAGTGCGGCCCAAGGCTCGGCTGGATTCCACGCCTGCTCCCTGGGATCATGACCTGAGCCAAAGTCAAGACCCCATGGCTCAAGCGACTGAGCCACCCAGGCGCCCCTGAAATCTTATTTCCTGAGCACTCACTGTGCACCATGCACGTTGCCAGATCAGTGCAGGATATATTTATGTCATTTAATTCTCAAAACTCTATGAAATGGCACTTGGTGTTCCCATTTTACAGAAAAGTCAGGAAGCTAAAGCCTGGAAGTCCACTGGGATGGTAAATATAACTTCTGACTCCTGGAAGGGCGGGGCTCAGGGTGCAGGACACAGGGATTAGTAACAGGGCACTAACGAGGTCTCGTGTCCAAATCAGGACATTTCTGAGAGTGAACGGTGGCCCTCCTAATAATTATGCTGGCAGCCACAGGCACAAACGGGGACTGTCCTGGGCAGACAGCACATTTGGTCACCAGTGATACCCCCCATACACACACACCCTCAAACACACACACAAAAAGAGTATGTCCCTGGGGAACGGATGTGGCAAATCTCCTTTCTCACAGACTTGCCTTCTATGTCTTGGCCCCTAGGATTGGGATCCTGGGACCGGCTGGCCATCTTTTCTTCTGTGTTTGCCCCTAGGGGAGCGAGCGGCCAGGATGTCCCAAGGAAGGGGGCTGGACAGAATGGGATGTCCCAAGGTGGGCTAATGCCAAGGGCAGCAGCAGTCCAGGACCCCATTTCCCCAGCACGGTGAGCACCTGCTTCTCCGAGGGTATTCTTTGATGCCCATTTACCAGTAGGGTTTGGCTCTAGCCAAGCCGTGTGACCTTGGGCAAGGTACTCTGCTTGTTCGAGCCTCAGAGTCCTGATCTGCAGAATGGAGGAGACGAGCGGCTCTCACTGGGCAGGCACTGTTAAAACTTTTATGACTTTTAGGGTGTTCTGAGCAGATAGTAAAGGCGTGCAGGGGAGAAGGGCTTAGGAGCTACAAGCCCTGGCAGATGGGAGATGTTCCATCTGGAGGCCAGACAAGGGAGCTGACCTAGAATGGGGCCCTCGTAACACACTTCCCAGTCCAGGCTCGGATGGCCCGTTGCCCTGGCTAGTTGTGGCGGTTGGCCCCATTAGCCGCTCTGCGGGGCAGAGGCCATCCCACCTTCCAGTGCTCAGCCACTGGGCTGCATCGCTAGCCAGTTGTGTAACAGCTGCCACATTCCACCCAGCACAGCCCCACCTCTGGGCCAGACAGTGGCTCTGCATATACCAGGCATGACCGGACTGCATGAATCATGAGATGTCAAGCCTGAAGCACGTCACCATGGGATGGAGACGGGGCCTGTTCTCCACCCCCGTTCCCCCCGCTTGGGATTCTGGGACCGGGCTTTGCTGAGTCCCACAGCTTGAGTGGATAGGGGTTTAATGCCAAGAGCAGGCATCAGAACGGCTCGTGCCTCTGTCAGCAGAGAAGGTGGGTGTTGGGGGAGAGGGGCCTGAGGGCATCAGACCCTATCCAGAAGTCTCCAAAGAGCCTTGGTCTCCTTTGTCCACCGATACCAGACACCAGTCATCAAACTCACTGTAGAGCAACAGGCTGCTGTTTCGGCCTCCTTGCCCCTGTACTCTCTCTCAAATCCACCAAGTCACTCCCCAGCTCATTGCTGTTCACACACACACACGACCCTCACCCCCCATGACCTTGACTTTCAGACTCTCTGTGGAGGAGCAAGCATCTTCTCTGAATGCCCCCCCCCCAGCAGATGTGCAGAAGGTAGACACGCTCTCTCTCATATATGGCCTTGTACCCAGAGCTCCCCCTTCACTCAGAATAGGAGCGGGGATGGGGTGGGGGAGGGGCCCTGGCCTAAAAGCTGGGTCTGACTCTCTGGAGAAGGTGGAATCAGGGCTGTTTCAAGTTTGTCTCCGTGTTTGACCTGATGACACATAAATTCGGGGACTGTGGGGGGGGGAGGCGGTAGAGGGGGCTTCTCTCCCACCAGGCTCAGGAAAAGCAGAGAAAACTTCTCTGTGGGAGAAACACAGAGAGAGAGGAAGAGGCAGAGTCCAGGGGAGAGGGAGGAGGGGGAGTACAGGAGAGTCCCCGCCCTGGGCTGTCCCAAACCAGATTCTAGGAGACCCTCCCTAGAGGTTTTGTGTGTGTTTTTTTTTTTTAAATAAAAAGCTCCCCTTTTTTAATTTAAACCAACTCAAAAGGGAGTTAGGCTCTATGGCCAAGAACCTAAACTGTATATGGCTCTATAATCCATCCCACCCACACCACCCAGCTTCCTGGAGTGAACCATGCTGGCCAGGCCTCCACCCTGCAAACCCTGAGCTATTGCCTACCCTATTGCCTGGAATGTTCTGTCCCCCCCCACCCTTTGCAGCCTGGCCCAAAGCCCTCCTCCTCCTCCTCCACCTCAGTGTCCCTCCCTGAGCCTTTTTGTGCTGGGTGGACACTTGGTTTGAGTTCACAGTTTCCTGCCCCAGAGGTCAGCCGAGGGCCCCTCCTGCTCCCCTAGGCTTTGCCTGATAACCCCCCGCAGCAGAGGGGAGAGGGGAGGTGCCTCTGGTCATAGGACCCGGGCAAAGCCCTCCCCGTGGGAAGGCCCCGGAAGCCAGTGAGCTCAGCTTCGCCACCTCCCTGCTCCTGCACGTGAACCAAGAGGCTCACCGAACGTTCTTCCACCCACTGATTGGGGTGCTGGGTATGTCCCCCACGTGCCACGGTAGTGAGTCGGCGCCCACAGCCAGGGCCCCTGCTGCCGTCAGCCGGAGAGGACCAAAGGCATGACACCCAGCTGGTAAAGGGGTCCTTTATTTTCACATTAAACAGAAGTGGTCTATGCTGCTGCTCGTGCCCCCTGCACGGGGCAAGAGCTGGGCCTCCTGAAGCACCCGTCCCGGTGCCCGCGGTCCGCCGTCTACCGGAAGAGGGCCCTGGGAAAGCGGCGGAGCTCTGGGAGGAAATGCCAGGAACCCTGGGGGGCGGGGGGGGGGGCTGGCATAGGGGCCTCCCCAGCAGGACAGACCAGAATGGCAACCAGGCCTCCACACCACGCGGACGCCTCCCTGGTGGCAGGTGGGGCCAGTGTCAAAGGCCAGCTGGGGTCATGGGGTTACAAAGAGGAGCTGCCACAGGACCTCAGGCCCCCCGACCCAGAACCCCCCTCAGGCCCTTGAGGCCAGGCGGTCTGGACAGGCCACAGGCTGAAAGGTGCCCCGCGGCCCAGGCATGCGGTTCCCAGGCTCCTCAGAACAAAGTATTCCACGAAGCCAGGGGCAGCCGTGCGAGCGGGGTGGGCCATCCTCCCAGCCGGCTGCCCCCCCGCCCCTACGGCCCCAGGAGTCCCCCGGCCTCAGGTTCCATTGCTGAGCTCCCTCCTAGGATCTGGTCCCTCAGCTGTGCTGAGCTGCACGGTGGGGGGCTGCAGGACAGGGGTAGCTCTGGGGCTGGGGACTCTGGCTTTGGCTGAACCTCCCCCCCCCCCCCCGGATCTCTGCGGACAGCCCCCCTCAGCCTCTCAAGCACGGATCCTGCCTTGGCCCTTGCCTCCAGGAGCCAAGAGTGAGAATGTCGATGCCAGAGGGTATCAAACACGACTCCTCCAGCATCCAGAGCTCAATACCCGCCTGCGGACGGAGGGTAACGTGTGCACGGAGAGAGGGACTCGTATGCGTGCGTGCATTGCGTCTGCGGGTGTGCGCATGCGCTATCGACACCGGGATGTGCGTGTTTTTGCATCATGGCACGGGAGCGCGCGCCGATGGTCGTGGGCACCCCGGGGCCGCTTGGGTGGACCATGTATGTGCATTCACGCTGGCGGGAATGGAGGGGGTGCGGGCATGGACTCGGAGGATTCACGTGGCGTGGGGACACAGCAGCAGGCGCTGGCGGGGGTGCCTGCACGGCGGCACCTGTGGGGGGTGCGCGCCTGTCCCGGGCTAGGGCCACAGCGGGGGGGGGGGGGGGGCAGGGCGACCCTCACTGCCAGCTGGCGCAGCTCTGGGGCAGGCTGTGCAGAATGGCCTCCAGGTTCTGCTTGTCAGCACGGATCTCTGCGAGGTCGTTCTCGAAGCTCTGGATCTGCAGCTCCTGCTGCTGGGACTCCTGCTCCAGCAGCCTCAGTTTCCCCTGCAGGGCCCCCGGCGGGCTCAGCCGCAGCCTCAGGCGCTCCAGTGCCCACTGGGTCTCGTTCAGGGCCTGGGCTGGGGCTCGATGGGTGTCCAGTGACCCTGCGGGGAGGCACAGGCAGCCTCAGCATAGGCCAGCTCCCCTGCAGGCCCGACGCCTGTTCGGCCCCCACCCCCGAGACCCTTGCCAGCTCAGATCTTCCAGGATCCTGACGGCCCACAGTCTACCAGGAAAGCAAGGGACCGAGAGAGGGCAGTGTTTCTGGTTGGGGCACCCCACTGGGTTCACGTGAAGACCCGAAACTTCCCCCCTGGGCAGCACCGGGCAACCGTTCATCCTTGTTGCTGATGAAAAGAAGGCTCTGTGTGCATCCTGAGCCCATTTCCTAAAGCAGCGTGCGCGCTCAAGGTGCCCGTTCAAGGTGCCCATGATTCCTGCTGGCTCCTCAGACGCACCATGTTGATTTACCAGGAGCACACATTTACAGATACCGCCTGTGCCGAGGTGTGGCCGCTCACCGGCGTAAAAAGAAGCATCCCTGGCATTAGAATGAGGGCTGGGAAGCAGGGTTTCCACCTGGCCCAGCACGGATTAACTCTATTTCTTAAGGACTTAAGGACTTCCCAGAGCCTCTCCAAGGGTAAAACAAGGTGGGGCCTGGTGCTCACATTTGAACTTGATGGTGGTGGTGGAGTGCAATCTACAGGCTGTCTCCCCCACCTGGCCCTTGTCATCTTGTCTTTTAAGGGTGACATTCAGCAGGAAGACAAGGCTCAGCCAGGTGGGAGAGTCGTGGGGATGGGGAAGTCTGTTCCAAATGGCTTCTAATCCCACGGGATCCCCCTATGGGCCTAGGGCTCTCCCTAGCCCCGAATTTCCTGGGCAACGAAGGTGGAAGGTGGAGGGCAGGCAGTAGCAGAACCTGAAACGGGCAGGAAGAGGCAGAAGAGAGCTGGGCCCTGGCAGCCTGGGCAAGTCCCGCTCTCCGCAAAGACCTCGAGGGGCCCCACCATCCACAGGGGTGTCCAAACTGCCCGGCCCGAGGAGATTCAGGTTCAAGGCACTGCCACACTCCGTGTGCCCGCTGGGGCTCCCAGGCACCGGGGCAGGGTCCAGATGTGGGCTGTCGTCTCCTGCATCCCTAAGCCAAGCACGTCACCAGCACAAACGAATAAATGACAGCAACCGCCAAAGCAGCTTACCCTCGCAGAGCAAGGCACCGCCCCGGGCACTGTGTCCAGTGCTCCGGGTCCTTAGCGTTGGGTACAGACCAATGGCCACAAGTGGGCACTCTGAATTGGTTAGACCCGCGGGTGAACCTCAGCTTCCCCACCGGCTGGCTGTGGGGCCCCGGACACATAGTTTAAACTCTCCAAGCCTCAGACTGCCCGTCTGCAAAATGGCAAAGCGAAGCTGTGTTCTTGCCCCGAAGAGAATGAGGCTTCTAGAGATCACGTGTGCAAACAGCTGAGCGCGGGCCTGGCATGCAGACAGGATGCAGAATGTGGTGAGTCTTCCCCTTATTAATAATAAAGGAAATGCCGTTCCGTGGGTGAGCCTGAGGACGTGACACTAAGGGACAGAGGCCAGCCACAGAAGGACAAATGCTGTGGGAATCCACTGATATGAGATCTCTAAGAGCGTTAAGTTCATAGACACCAAAGAGAGAATGGGGCGTGCCAGGGGCTGGGGACACAGGGAATTCATGTCTAATGGGTGCAGAGTGGTTCGGTTTGCGAAGATAGGAAAGTTCTGGGAAAGGATGGCGGTGATGGCTGCAAGACACTGTGAATGTGCGTAATGCCTCTGAAGTGTGTGCTTAAAGATGGTTACAACGGCACATGTTATGTTATGCGTATCTTACCACAGTTTTTAAAAATGCATACCTGCTATGGCCCTATCCCTTTCCCTGCTCTGAGGCCTCCATGCTTCCCCACTCTGAGGGGGTGCCGGCTCCCTCACCCTGAAATGTCTCCCTGCTGAGGCCCGCCTCGATTCTTCCTCCTCCCTGGGAGCTGCTGTTGACAGACTCTCACCCCCACGGCGTGGCAACCGCTTTCTAAATGACCCAGTGTTACTCCCATTTTCCAGACGGGGGAACTGAGGTTCGGAGAGGCAGAGTAGTTTTCCCAAGGTCTCCCGGCCAAGCACCAGACTTGAGAGTCTTGGTCTGATTCCAAACCAGCACATGATCTCGATGCCGGATTGCTTCTGTGACATCCTCTCTCCTCTGAAACCCTCAGGGCGGATCTGTGTGTGGTGACTTTTCCAGTCTCCCAGGCTAGTGGCCCCTGAGGGCACACAGAGAATGGCCGCCAGCCCCACCTCGCATGGGGGTCTGGAACTATTATAAACGCTTGCGGCTGGGGATGGGGAGCCCTGTGTAGACGAGGGCAAGGAGGAGATCTTCTCTAGGACCGGGGCTCACAGAAGCTCCGGAGGTGCTCCAGGGCCTCAGGGGATCAGGGCCCGGCCTTGGGTGCTCACCCAGCCTGGCAAGTAGCTCCGACAAGGCCTGGACGTCCTCTTCCAGGGTCCTGCGTGACTCCCAGATCTGCCGCTCCACGGCCCGCAGCCCGGCACCCGCCTTGGGAGGGAGGGAGAGCTTGAGCGGCGCCCCGCCGGCTCCGGGGGGGGGCCGGGAGGGAACGAGGTGGGGGGTCTGGGCCCACGTACCTGCTCAGCTTCCTCCAGCTCCTGTCTGCGCGCTTGGAAGGCAAGCACCTGCCCGGAGGCCCGTCGGAGCGTCGCCTGCGTCTGGCTGGACAGCCGGCCTGCCCGGTGGTTCTCCTGCTTCCCGTCCCTCAGCAAGGCCCTGGCGAGCTGGGGGAGGGAGGAGAGGGGGGGTGGAGTAAGTCCTTCCAGAGGCAAAGAGCACAGACGGCAGTAATGCCGAGCTGTCCTCAGTTTGAGCACCAGATCATTCATTCATTCCACCACCGTGTCCCGGATGCAGGCTACGTGCACCAAGTCAGCGGGGGCCGGGGAGAGGCACGGGGGGTTAGACTTTGGCTCCAGTTAGAAAACGAGAGTCTAGAAGTTTGGGAGCAAAGCCAAACAGATCTAGGTGACATTCCTGGTCATGTGATTTAAGTTCCTAAAACAGGCTGGTACTCAGAGGGTCCCCACCGGTCAGACAGGGACAACAGTGACACCTGTTTGTCAAGGAATCAACAGGGTCACTTGAATGAAGCTCAAGGGCTTGGAGCCTGGGATCCACCGTGCCCCAAGTGCGGAGCATCCAGCATCGTGTACACGGGAGAGGCAGATCTGCAGGGACCACGTTTAACCTACGGAAGGGGAGCCCTTAGGAGACGGTCCACCCCCAGGCCCAGAGGCAGGGGCGCCGCTGTTGTCACATCCGTGGCCCTGACCTTAGCACTGTCCATAGCCAACATTTCGGCTTCCCGGCCCTTCTTCTTGGCACTGGAGGAGACAGATGCCGCGTTCCCCAGCATCCTCTCCGCCTGCTTGGCCTTCTTTTTCAAGTCCGCGAGGAGCCTGCCCCTGACCGTGCCTGCCTTCCTCCCCAGCGCGGCCTGGTCCTTGGGCCGAGGAAACTGTCGCTTCATTCCTGCAAACCCAGGAGAGGCTGTGTCAGCGGGGCGAGGAGGGAAGGGGGCTCACGCCCCTGCCGGGCAAGCACCACCAGACGCCTGACCCTCAGATGACGTGAGTGGAGGGTCAAGATGTAGGTGGTTCACATGTGACCTTCTCAGGCTTGTCTTGGGAACAAAGAACCAGCAAGACATACGGCTCAGTGAATGTAAAGGTTTACATTCTTTTATGAGATTTATTAAAATCACAAAAGTACACCAGGCACCTGGGTGGCTCAGTGGGTTGAGCATCCGACTTTGGCTCATGGTTCGTGAGTTCAAGCCACACATCGGGCTCGCTGCTGTCAGCACAGAGCCTGCTTTGAATCCTCTGTCCTCCTCTCTCTGCCCCTCCCCCACCTGCACTCTCAAAAATAAGTAAACATTAAAAATATATAAAAATAAGGGCACCTGGGTGGCTCAGTCAGTTAAGCATCCGACTTCAGCTCAGGTCATGATCTTACAGTTCAAGAGTTCGAGCCCCGCGTCAGGCTCTGTGCAGACAGCTCAGAGCCTGGAGCCTGCTTCGGATTCTGTGTCTCCCTCTCTCTCTGCCCTTCCCCCACTCATGATTTGTCTCTGTCTCTCAAAAATGAATAAACGTTAAAAAAATTAAATATATACATATATATAAATAAAAACTAAAAATCACATGGTGTTCAGTGCCTGGGCCATGGCGGGAATGGATGGGAAGTCACAGCACAGTACCCAGCAAATCCATATCTCCTATTTCTAAAAGGGCTTTGAGGCAGCTTATAGTAATAGATAAGTCAACGATTGGACCACTAAAATGAAAAACCAAGGGCCATAGGTAATTGGGGGGATGAGGAAGGGACAAAGAGGAGTGAGAAGTGCCAGAAAATTAGGATAATAACATTGGAGGCACTGAATGCTCTATATACCTCTGAGCTTCCTAGCAGCCAAGATAAAAAGGGAGGTATTACAATTTGCATAGGTTTTATTATCTAATAAGAAGTAGTTTCCCTCTGTAAAGAAGAAAGACCTTTTTCCTCCTTTTAAGATAAAATCCTACGGGAAATCAGGAATACTGATTATAGTCCAATTTTATTTATTTATCTTTTTTTAATGTTTATTTATTTTTTGAGAGAGGGACAATGAGTGGCGGAGGGGCAGAGAGAGAGGGAGACACAGAATCTGAAGCAGGCTCTAGGCTCTGAGCTGTCAGCACAGAGCCTGACATGAGATCAAACTCAGAAACTGTGAGATCATGACATGAGCCGAAGTCGGACCCTTAACTGACTGAGCTACCCAGGTGCCCCTATAGTCAAATTTTAGAAAGAATCAAGCCCTCTAAGGCAGAATATCACAATTTTTCTGAAGATAATCCAACAATTAGATCTACTTTGCCTCTTGTACACAAAATTGATGTTTTTTAAAAAAATTTTTAATGTTTTATTTATTTCTGAGAGAGAGAGAGAGAGCAGGGGAGGGTCAGAGAAAGAGGGAGACACAGAATCCGAAGCAGGCTCCAGGCTCTGAGCTAGCTGTCAGCACAGAGCCTGACGTGGGGCCTGAATCCACGAACTGTGAGATCATGACCTGAGCCAAAGTTGGACATTCAACCGACTGAGCCACCCATGCACCCCAAAATTGGTATTTCTTAAAATGCACTCCGTGGAGTCCTCACTCTACAGGGGTAGTAACAAATGTCAGGAGGAAACGTCAATTAGGCTTGAATAAAAAGAAGGAGGTTTCTTTACTGCAGGACTTCTCAGAACCTTTAATAGGTGCACGCTGTATGGCCTCTAGAAGGCGCTATAGTAATGACATATCCTAAACTTATTTGAACACAAACCCACTCTTGATAGATAACCTCTCGGGCTAATTCACTCTGTGAGTTTTCCTTTCATCCTGAATACCAACTGGGCACAGGCCAACTGGTAGTGACAGAGGGCGTCTCTGAAAAGGGGCAGGAATGAGGGGAAAGAACCTAGAGTTAGAGGTTTGAGATGAGCCCTTGTGTACTCACAGTACTGCCCCAGGGAGGCAAAGTTCCATGCAGTATATCCGACAGTGAGAAGGGGATGCCTTGTGAGGTAGTGAGCCCACAAGCACTGGAGGTAGGCAAGCAGAGGCTGGATGAGTCCCCTGGGTGGTGAGGGGGTTGCAGCAGAGGGCTCGAGCAACCTTGATAATTTCAATGTCCTAAAATCCTAATATTCCACCACTGCATGTCATTGAATTTACATTTTCCTAAACGCAACTCAGAGCCAAGAGCACACGGCCACGCCCTCTGCATGGAAGCCCCCTGACTCATGGGTGACCAAGACTTCAGACCACAGAGCAGCCTAGAGAAGAGGAGGCACTGACCAGCTCACCCTCTGTCCCAGAAGGTAGAGGGTCCATGGCTGGGGCCACATCTCCCAGGGGCAGTGGGTAGAGTTGGGAAGGAAGTCTGTAGAACCGGATCAAGCAGAGCCTGACTTCCGGTCTTAGACACCAAGGGGCCCCTGGGGCCTATGTTCCTGCTTTATTCAGCTCATTGGTGCAGAGCCACAGACAAGGGGCAAAGAGGACCTCAGAGAAGCCTATGCCACAGGGGGACGGAGAGCCGGAGAATCCTGACCCTGGACGGTTTCTATTCGGTGCATCTCTGACCCAGGGATAGTTACCAATCCCTTTCCTTGGTCTACACGTCTATGAAATGGGACCACTTAGCCTCATTTTCCTAAAGCCCAAAGGAAACCTGGAATGGCATCAACCCACGCCCCCTTTCTAAAGAGAACTCTGCCTCCTTCCCTGCGACCCCAGCTGAACACTGGACTGTGGCCGCCGTTTGTACCAGGTGATGGGACCCCCGGCCTGAGCAGACGAGACCAGGAATGGATAGCCGATGGCCTCGGAATCGGCCCTGATAGGCTCTGTGTGTGGTCTGATGGCCGACAGCCATGCGGGTGAGTACCCGGTGAGGGGTGTGTGAGGAACAGTCGAGCAGCCCGGGAGGGGTCCTGGCTGGGTGGGGAGGGGAAGGGCCGGTTGGCTTATGCCCACACAACTGGACTTCGGTCCCCTGCGGCACGGGCAGTTACGCAGCAAGAAGCCTAGGGCTGAGCGAGGCACGCATACCTTCCAGGTCGGCCAGCAGGGTCCTGGCTCCCGTGACCGTCACTGTGGCGGCCTGGACGGATGAGGAAGCCCGCGTCAGGGCGGCTCTGGCCTGCTGGCGAAGCTGGAGAGAGAAGAGAGAGGATCCGCAGGGGGAGACACTGGACGGACAGGGTCTTTGCCTTTCATTCTCCTGCTCCCCCCACACCCCAGGACACCCCCAGGGCAGCCCGACCCGGTGCCTGCTTCAAGGACATGAGCCCACCTGTGTGAGGGGCTCCGTCTTCCGCAGCTCGGCCTGGGCGGTGGCCTGGAGGGCCCGGGCAGCCTCGGTGACCGCACGCTCTCTAGAAGCAACCGTCTTCTCCAGGGCCTGTGCCTTCAGACCCAGGGCCCCGGCCTGGGACTTCTGCAGGGAGATGGTGGGCTCAGGCAGGGCCCGGCAGGAAGACCCGAGGGACAGGTCCTCTACCGGGTGGGAGGCGCCCAGGGACAGGAATGGGGGGGGGGGCGGGAACAGAGCTGCCTGTGGGCCCCAGGAAGAAGAGGGGCAGCCAGGGCAGGGAGAGCCTGTCTCAGGTTCCAGTCTTACCAACGACTAGGAGCGAGGCCTCCCTGACCTGCATTTCCTTCCCCAGATCCACAATCTCAGCTGAAACCTGGGGCCCGAATGTATTTCCAAATTCAGAATTTTCCTGACTTGAGAAGCAGAGCCGTGCAGGTGCCGAATGCCATCTAACACCTTCGGCGGCATCGAGGGCCACGCTCAGGGTCAAACCCCTTAGTACCTGCACGCTACTCTTCATATTCGGGGTGAGGGAAGCGAGGACCCCAAAGAAGGAGCTTCAGGCCAGTCAGGTTTTGCCCCAGATGCATTTGTATAAGCTTAGTCTCTTTCTTAGAGTGCGGTTTCTGAGTCTGGGGATTTGAGGATTACTGGGGAGACACGACGGAGCTGATTTATCCGGAGGTGCTGAGGGCTGACAGGCACTGAGGACCACTTTGCATACTGCTCACAAATCCTCTCCCGGCTCGCATGGACGCGGCCTACAACTACCTGATGGGTGAGCTCCGTCTCACAGAGGAATTAACTGAGGGCGCAGGGAGGGAACGTGACCTTGGCCAAGGTCACAGATCTGGGGAGGCGGAGCTGGGATTTGACCCCGCGTCTCTCTGCTGCCTCTGCTAATGCCACTGTGCAGAAGACACCTGGCCTTTGCTATTATTATCACAATCAACTACAAAGACCGGCCGAGCTCCATCTCTGTGCCAGGCAGGCGCTCGGCCAAGCCACGGATGTGGATTATCTCGTTTTAATCGACTGCCATATAGTTAAAAATAAGCCACGTCGTCTGCCTCTGCCTGGGCTGCGCTGGTTTCCCAGCTGCCTCATTCTCCCCACCCCACCCCATGCAGAGCTCCAAGGACGGCCAGGCTGACCAGTGCTGCAGGGGCAGCCCGTGGGGCCGGGCGCAGGACGGCGTCTGCACCAACTTGCTGCGTGGCGGCCAGCACCCTCCCAGCTCCAGGCAGCATCTCTGCCACAGCCGTGCCCAGCGCCTTCTGGGCTGCCTGGACCTCCTGGTACCTGAGGGGAGACAGCAAAGTTGCCTCGCAGAGCAGGGCACAGGGCTCTCCTTCCCCGTGGATGTCACCCCCCACCCCCCGCCGGAGCCCTCTGGAAACCGCCCAGGCAGAGCCGCCCTCTGCAGGGTCGGCATCCGGCAGCTGGCCTCGGAAACTGGCAGCTTTCAAATGAATGGAAAAGGCAGTAAAGGCAGCACATTCTTGTTTCTTCATTCATTCAAGTCAAACGCTCTTTTCTGAAGGGGCTTGGGCTTGGCTTCCACTCGAGAATCATATGTTTTGCAAATGTTTGGATTCTCTGGCTGAATCGCGAAGAGGAAAATGCCTGATGTTGGTGAAGGGACGGCAGCTCGGGCCTCGGTCTTGGCTCGGCCGTGCCCTTGGGTGACCTTGGGCATGTGGCTCTCCAGGTAAATGGATAGCCCTGGGCTCTGAGGGCCCTCAGCTTCAAGGTGCTGTAGTTAACTGCCTAGAACAGGTTTCTTGTTCCGTCCAGCTGTCTGTGCCCTCCCCCCACCCAGCTCCACAGTGAGCACGGCTGGGATGCTGACCCCCCCCTGCGGTCTCTCATCCCTCCCCCACTTCTCAGACAGCCTGTGCCCCCACCCCTGCCCAGGAGTGGGTCAGATGACCTCACACACAGCGCCCCATGCCAGTCAGGGCCGGCCACTTGATCTAAGCTGGGCCACTCACATTCTCTCATCTAGGAAGTCAACTTGGGACTTAGGGAGGCCTTCCTGGGTCTCTCTTGACACTCTGACTGAGGTTAGAAGGGAGTCACACAGAGCAGAGAAGCAGAGGCCAAGAAGGAAGCTGGTGCCTGAAAGGAGCTGCCTGGGGGTGGGGGTGGGGCCTGGGGGGGTGCTGCGGGATGCTGCAGGGGTGAGAGAGAGACATGCTGCTCTGGACCCTCCTGGTTCAAGTTCTCACTCCTTCTCTCCAGAGGCTGACCTGCACCCCCAGGCATAAATGCATTCTTGTAATGCATCACCCAGTGGGCCCGAGACCTCAGACATCCCCGCCCACCTGCCCAGAGGACGTCAGGACTCAGGAAGGAAGCCAGTTCTGGACCCAGCACCCTCCAGCCAGGCCCCGTCGGCTGCAGGAGGCCAACTCAACCTTCCACCCACACCCGGGAGGCCTCACCTGCCCTCCAGTTCCCGCTGGGCCTCCAGGGCCACTCTGCCCTCCACCAGACTCCAGAGAAGTGCATAACTGGTGTTGGAGGCGACCAGGGCCCTCCGCGCAGTGGCCTCAATCTTGGCAGTGGTGTCCCTGTGGCTGTATAGAAATGCCCACTTGACCACCACCAGGAGCTCACACAGAAGGCGGCCTGCACCCAAACCCACACCTCCCAGCACACGGGACTCCAACCCTGTGGGCCGAGCTCCTTTTCTCCCTCTGCTAGACACACAGTGAGGGCTGATGGGAAGGGACCCACCCATGCCCCTGCTCCTGTTCCATTGAGTTGATGCCTGTTGTCCTGGCATAATGATCAATAGGGCCTTTTATCACTTGTAAAATCTCAGTTTGGACCATAATGATATGGTCACCCTAATAAAGACATCACAGAAGAGAGTGGTCAGGACAGCCTGGGTTTGAATCCAGGCAAGGGGACACCTGCGGGGTTGATCCTGACCTGGGAACCCACCCCCCATCCCCGAGAAGTGCTGGGTTCCCTTCAAGACTGTGTGGGCAAGACCTCACCAGGCTCCCAGGGCCCGGGGTCTCACCTCCTGGCGAGGGCATGGGCCTCGGTGGCCAGGTGGCTCCAGGTGGTGGGCTGGCTGGACCCTTCCTGAGGAATCACCTTTAGAGAAGAGAGGGAGATGGGAGGAAGCTGATGGGCATCCTTGAAGGGCAAGGGCCTCATTTGACCAAATTACTGGGCAGGACTAAATCATGCCAGTTATTTTATAAATGCTCAAAGGTAGCCTGAAAGTCAGCACCCGGTGGGCAGAGCCCCAGAATGTAGAAACGGCAGTTATGATGCCCACCACTCATTCGCTGGACATTCAGTGTCCCCCTGGAACATGCCTTGTTCTGTGCAGACATTATCCCACTGAATCAGCAGAAGGGGTGCTGTGTGACCCCCCCCCCATTCTGTAGATGAGGAAACAGAGCCTCTCCAAAAAGGCACAGCCCAGCCACTAGGTCACCAGGTGAGCCCAGGATGTGTTACCAGAGATCTGAGGATGATGGCCGCCTGCAGAATCTCCTCTTCCGAGGACTCCAGTGCTGCATCTAGGTCTGCCAGCTGGAAGCAGGTCTTCTCTGTTCCAGCCTGGCCACAGTGGGCACCCTTGCTCAGTGTCCGCAGCTGCTCCCGGGCAGCCTTCACCGCACCTTCAAGGCCTGTCACCTGCTCCAGGAAGTCTTCCCGGGCTCCTGCATGAAGCCCGCAAAGTTCAGGGGTCACAGAGCACTTGATATGTCACAACAAAGTGCTCACCCTCAGGGACCCCCCATCTCTGTCTGGGCACAGCTTAGCTCCCTCACCAGGCCTGAGCACCAACCACCACCAGTCAGCTCCAAGGGAAGAGCCTCCCTATTTTACAGACGCAAAGACTGAGGTCCAGAGAAGGCAAATCATGACCCGAAGCCCTCCCACATAGGAAGTCCACCACAGATAAGGGCCTGGAAGGAACTCAGTTCTGCTAGAGCCACAAGAAACAATTCCTGAACCTGAGACAGCAGAAAGGCCACCACCTTGAGTCAGCTCTGTTATCTGCAGTGTGGGTTGGTATGGTCGTTTGAACACACATCATCTGGAAGGTCCCTATTCTGATCACGAGTCTTGCTAACAAGTGCTCAGCTCACCTACGCCTGGCTGCTAAAGGAGCAAAGGTGCCTATGAACATGAAATTATACAGAAGGGTCAACTCACTTTTAATATTCCCTAAATTACAATGTCCCAAGGCCAAATTCCATCTGGCTCTATTAACAGTCTCTATTCTCATGTACTTGTTTATTTCTATCCTGGGGAATGAGCAAAATGGCCAATAGTCAAGGCAGCAGAAACGGTACCTGTTCAGCACCTGGGACAGCACCTCAGTGATTATTTGTTGTATGTGTGAAACCAGCCCCCTTCCTCACTCAGCTTACAGTCCCGGGTGGGACACAGGGCATGGGGCATGGGGATAGGTGTTACAGTCAGAGACGAATAAAGTTGCAAAGTACAACTGGGTGGGGGACATTGAAGGAAAGGTCTGGGGTGGGGACATGGGAGGAGCCCATTTAGTTGGGGAGGACAGGCTCTCCCAGAAAGTGAGTTCTTCTAGGACCCAGCTCAGAGCCTTCAGAGCATCCTGAGACCAGACTGAAGGGCTCCAAGGGGGGGGGGGGGGTCTGACCAGCCAGCCGTCTCGTCACCGCTCACCTTGCAGCAGATGTCCCTGGTAGATGTCCCCCCGTGGGGCCTCTCCCTGCAGAATGTGCAGGGGTCCCCAGGGCTCACTACAGTCAGACCTCTGCAGCCACCCCTCCATCAGGGTCAGCCTGGCCTTCAGCTTGGAAGCCTGGAGGTAGGAAAAGAAGGGCACGCGAGGCTGATGGCCCAGAAGTCCTGTCTGCACACCTCTCCCCTGGCTTCTGTCCAGCCTTTCCCTCACCGATGGTCTCCTTTTCCTGTCTCATTCTGAGCATCAAAGCCGAGGACACACCAGACCTTTGAGGACCAGCCTTGCCCACCCCTTCCTCATAGCTGTCCCTTCCCTCCTCACACCCATGGCACCTGCTAGCATTCAGCTGACACATCTCTGATCTACTGAGAGAGGGATGGGAAGGGACTCCCCAGGAGAATCTGTCTGTCCTGCTATATTGCAGGTGTACGTGGATACTGCTGACTGAGTGTGCCACACAATGTCTTCTAGCACTGTTCTTTTATCTATTTGTGTTTGTATTTCATTATTCATTCTTTTTAAGTAGGCTCCATGCCCAACATGGGGTCTGAACTGACAATCCTGAGACCAAGAGTTGCGTGCAGGGTGCCTGGGTGGCTCAGTTGGCTCAGTGGCTAAGCATCCGACTTCGGCTAAGGTCATGATCTCACAGTTCATGGGTTCGAGTCCCATGTTGGGCTCTGTGCTGAAAGCTCAGAGCCTGGAGCCTGCTTCGGATTCTGTGTCTTCCTCTCTCTCTGCCTCTGCTTATGCTCTATCTCTCTCTCAAAAATAAATAAACATTAAAAAAAAAGAGAGAGAGTTGCACGCTCTACTGACTGAGCCAGCCAGGCATCCCCCAAGTCACACCAACAATGACTGTGTTTACACACTTGCAGGGAACCGCAAGCGGCTGCTGGCCACACACCGGCTCATGTTCACCTTGTAACCACCCTAAGGGCCGGAGGATGCAAGTCCTGAGCCCTCTCTTCGATTCCAAAGTCCAGAATGCTCTGAGAAACCACAGGGCTTTCCGTTCCTTACTGAATGGCAAAATGATGTTAAAAAAAATTCTAAACTCATCTAGCAGCAAAAGCGTTCTGACCTAGACTGTCTGTGGTCCTTATTTTTTATTTGGGGTGACTATTTATCTGTTTCCCTGCAGATACATCCATGGGTTTGACTGCAGGGACAGACTGGCCCAGGCACTACAGAGGGGAGGGGCGGGGAGGGGTGGCTACTATTCACCACCCATCATTGTGTCTTTTTACAGCATCGTCATTCTGAAGGCTGGCCTCACCAGTTGCAGGTGAGGGGTCGCACGCCTGCGTCCATTTTGGAGCAGGAGAGAGAGGGATGAAATTTACCAAAGCTGCTCCCTGCTATTGGGGACACCACATGGGTTTGGAGAGGTCACGCTCCTCACCCCTGCATCACACCAGCTCCCTCTCAAAATTCTCCTTGAGGCCTGGCCCTCCTCCCTACTGCCTCCACCAAGGGCCATCTATGTGGTCTCATCCCCACTGAACTTGAGAAAGTGTGAGACCTGGGCTTGGGTGGGGAAGGATACCCGGTGACAGCAGCTCTTCTCCTGTCTAGTCAGGAGCCAGGGGCAAGCAGAGGTGAGGGTTGGGCAGGGCTGGCATCAGCCAGATGGCTGGGTGAGCACAGGGAGAAGGTGACCAGTGGCCCCAGAAGGCCTGAGAGCCATGGATGAGAAGTCAGTTCCCGGTGCCCAGCACAGAGCTGGCGCTCACGGTGGGGTGGCGGGGGGAGCGTGATGTGGCGGGAGGCAGGGCGAGACTTCCTGGGTGGGGCCCGGATGGGTGGGCTCACCTCCTCCTTCACCAGGGCGTAGCAGGACGGGCACTCCTGACAGTGGGTGCCGCCGGCCGTGAGGAAGAAGTTTTCCCGGCAGCGGTCACACTTGTAGCCCACGAAGCCGGGCCTGCACACGCACGTGCCGTTCTTGTGGCACTGCGCCTCGGCGGCCCCCGACGGGGAGCACCTGCAGGCTGGGGGGAGCGGTGCAGATGGCGCTGAGCGCCCTGATGCCCCCCACCCAACATCAGAGCCCCTCAGGTCCCCTGCATGCTAGCAGCGGGCTGCTCCCGACCCCCCCCTCCCCCACCCCAGAGGCAGCTCAATCACACTCCTGGGTCCTTCCTGGGAGACTGAGTCAGAAGGCCGGAGGTGACAGCTGACTTACTCCGGCGTCCCTGGGTCTGAGAACCAGCCATGTTTCGGAACTGCCATGCAGTCCAGCCGTACGAATGCGGAAACCGAGGCCCAGAGAGGTGACCCGATGGCCTCAGCACACAGGGATGTAGCAGCGGAGTTTTTGGTTCCCTGCATTCGTTCCATCCATATTTCTATGGCTGTTCTTAGAAGACAGCGATGCGCCTGCACCTGACCTTTCGCTCTCCTGCCAAATGGCTGGCAGCCCCCTCTTTGCCCAGAGATCTCAGGCCCCACCTCCTGGGCGGCCGGGCAGCACCCAGCTCCTCACCTCGGCAGCCCTTGATGGAGAAGCCGAAGAAACCCAGCTGGCATCTGTAGCAGGCCTGGCCCTCAACGCCTGGGCGACAGGGGCACTGCCCAGTCGTGGGGTGACACCGATCCTCCTGGGAGCCCAGCGGGTGACACTTGCAGCTATGACAGGGGAGGGGACCGGGTCTGAGGCGAGCTCTGCTGGCAGCGGCTGCCCGGGGGCCTGTAGGTCACCCCCTCTGCAGACGGGGGCCCAGGGGCCCCATCTCTGCCTCCGGACACATCAAACAGCTTTCCCCAAGCTGAACCCCAGGAGGCACAGTCTCACCAAATGCCTCCCCCCCCCCACCCCTGCCAGAGGCTATGGGGACACACAGATCTTGGAGACTATACTCCTCTGTTGGAAAGGCACACTGCGACCAGCACATTAAAGGCTCTGAGGACTCTCGCAAGGAGGAAACCTGTTTGTTCCCCGGGGCGCTTCCCTGGAGCCCTCCGCTGTTCCCCAAAGGCACGAAGGTGCCGTTGTGGCCAAAAAGGTCACTGAGCAACAGCGTCACCGAGAAGGGGAATCGGAGAGCAAACTGGCCCCCCCGGCCACCTGGCCCTCCCTGAGGGCTGCTCCTGGCCGGCATCCTGGGTTGGCAGGGCCACAAGTCTGACCCCCGAGGGACCATCGCTTTGTCCCCCTTTGGTGCAGGGCCCGGTGTGCCTGGCACGGAGCCTAGGATGGCCCGTTCCAAACCGGAGCCCTCCCCGGAGGCCGCCCGGGGCGCCTTCCATCCTGGAGACACCCCCAGGGGGAAGGGCACCCACAGCCTCGCCCCACTCACCTCCGGCAGCCCCTCCCGGGCTGGAGGCCATAGAAGCCGGGGCTGCAGCGGCTACAGTCCCGTCCCGTCACGTGAGGCAGGCAGGTGCACCGGCCGGTCACCGGGTCGCAGGGTGTCTGCTCACTGACCGAGCCCCCCGGGTTGCAACCACAGGCTGGGGACGGGAGCAGAAAATGGCGTTGGGGAACCATGAAGACTATCGCTCAACCTTTGGGGGTCCCGGAGAAGACAGGGAGCACACAGGGATGACTCACATTCAGCCCAGCCTCCTGAGCTGTTTCTGGAAAAAGGCTATAGGGCCGGGCTCAAATCTCAACCGTTTCCTATGTCCTTGGAAAAACAGCCCCAAATCGGCATGGAGGCAGAGGGCTCCTCTGAGCTTGGCCCCGAACTCCCACTGGCTGGAGAGAAGGCCAGAGACCTGGCCAGGGAGTCATGGGGGGACCCCTGTGCCCACTGTCTTGGGCCGCTTGACCTTGCCCTCTGGGCCCCGTAAAAACAAGAGGCCGGCAGGGTGCTGACGGGTGCCGCGTGGAGAAAGGGGCTCTGGAGTAAGTTTGGGGGAAATGCTGAACTTCTCCCTGAAGCACTTCTGGAAGCCTTCCATGGGCTGAGGTACAGCCCTCTGAGCGGGGACACAGGACTGTGTGCGAACCCAGGTGGAGGAGAAAAGCCTGAAGGAAGCCCGGGGGCAGCACAAACGTGGTGAGTGCTGTGGCCGAGGAGGACAGTCGTGGGCGCTACCTGTGGAGCTGGGAGTAAGCGCCAAATCAAGGCAAAAAATAAAATAAATAAAGCATAAGCTCAGGGGTGATTAGATCAAGGCTGAGAGAGACCCTGGAGGAGAGCAAACCCTTACGCCTTTCGGACAACGGACCAGAGAAGGTGAGTAATCTGCCTAGGGTTGCACAGCCCCTTGGAACTGATGGCTAGAGCTGGCGGAGTGGGGCCCCACCATGCCCTGCCGGTGGCTCGAGAGGTGGGTACTCACGCGTGCACTTGTCTGCAGGCCGAGGGGCCAGGGCGCTCCCGTAGAAGCCTTCCGCACAGCGCTCGCAGCGGGCGCCTGTCGTGTTGTGCAGGCAACGCAGGCAGCGGCCAGACTGGGGGTCACAGTTGCCCACGGCGTTGGGGTCTACGTTCCCACTGCACTGGCACCGGCGGCAGGGCTGGGGGGCTCCAGAGAGCCCCAGAGGGTCCCCAAAATAGCCATCATCACAGATCTCACAGCGTCGCCCTGGGGAAGGGAGGGGGCTGTGTGTGGAGGCGCAGGCCTGAGGGAGGGGGCTGCCGGGTCCCCACGGTAGGTGGGGGGAAGGTGTGAACCCAAGCAATCGGCCCTCGCGTCTCCTTGTGGAACAGAGCGTGGGCTCCAGGGCCAGGGCCCAGCTCAGCCGCCGGCTGGCTGTGTGGTCTAGGGCGAGCTCCTGGGCCTCTCTGACCTCAGGCTCCTTGTCTACAAAGCCGGGACAGTCATGGCAGCCGCGGCAGAGAACCAGGGAGAGGGCTTGGTGAGATCATTTGTGTAAAGCTCTTAGCACAACTCCGGGCACTACAACAGCGGTGGCCGTCACATATTCCTTGTCATCACCCGCTGACCATCCTCTTCATCAGCAAGGCCCGCAGGACGCTGGTGTGACAAGGGGGGCGGGGCTGGCGCCCCCCCGGGCGACCTTCCCAGGGGTTGTTCCCTCCGTGCACAGCACTGCTCTTCCCACTCCCCAAATCCTCCCTCGGGCACATGGCTGCCTGGGCCAGACTGAACTTCTCTGTCTACACCCGCAGACCAGGCTCTCCTCGAGTCTCCAGACCAGGGGAGCCAGAAAATGCAGGGAAGGTTACGGAACAGAGGCACAGCATGAGGGCAGGGTGGGGGGCAGGGTCCTCCGGTCTTGGGCCCCCACCCGCCGCTCTACTGCTGGCACAGGGGGAGCTGCTTTCCTAGCGGTCCCCAGCAAGGCGGGCACTAGACAGGACCTCAGGACCTCCTGAGGCAGCCACAGGGACACAAAATCGGATGTCTGGGAGCCTCGGAAACAGTGTGCCGAGTGAAACAAGCCAGTTACAGAAGGACAAACATCGGATGATGTCACTTATACGAGGTCCCAGGAAGAGTCAGATGCAGAGAGACAGGAAGTAGGGAAGAGGCAGGAAGTAGGAGAGAGACAGGAAGTAGTGCTTACTAGGGGCTGCAGAAGGGGGGGGTGGGGTTGTATAATGGGGACAGTGTTTCCGTTTGGGAGGGTGAATACATTCTGCAGACACATTGTAGAAATGGCTGCACAACCCCGTGAATGTACGTAAACGCCACTCAACTGTGCACTTAAAAAATGGTTCAAATCATGGGGTGCCCGGGTGGCTCAGTCGGTTGAGCGGCCAACTTCGACTCAGGTAGTGATCTCACAGCTTTGGAGTTCGAGCCCCGCATCAGGCTCTGTGCTCACAGCTCGGAGCCTGGAGCCTGCTTTGGATTTCTGTCTCCCTCTCTCTCTCTCATGTTCTCTCTGTCTCTCAAAAATAAATTAACATTAAAAAAATTTTTTTAAATGGTTCAAATGACAAATTTTATGTTATATATTTTTCACCATAACTTAAGAAATTAATAATGGAATATACCCCCAAAAACCACATCGAGTTGTATAAGTGGGCGAATTGTCGGGTATGTGAATAATATCTCAAAAGAGCTGGAAAAGAATCAGATGTCGAGGGTGACCCTGGGTCCTGGAGTGGGGAGTGTGGGTGGGGGTTTCTCCCTTATACAACATCTGGCAACATGTTTTAAAAGCTGAAAGTGTAATCAGAGATTGTCCTTCTCATCCATGTATCAGAATTAGTGAGAGCACTTGTTATGAATACAGATTCTTAGGTAAGCCAGGCTCTAGAAGGCCAGGGCCCAAATGGGAATTTTCAAAAACTCTCCATGGGGCGCCTGGGTGGCTCAGTTGGTTGAGCGTCCGACTTCAGCTCAGGTCATGTTCTCACGGTTAATGAGTTCGAGCCCTTCATCGGGCTCTGTGCTGACAGCTCAGAGCATGGAGCCTGCTTCAGAGTCTGTGTCTCTCTCTCTGCCCCTCCCCTGCTCGCTCTCTGTCTCTCTCTCAAAAATAAATAAACATTAAAAGAAAAAGACTCGGGGCGCCTGGGTGGCTTAGTCAGTTAAGCGTCCGACTTTCACTTAGGTCATGATCTCGCGGTTCGTGGGTTCGAGCCCCGCGTCGGGCTCTGTGCTGACTGCCAGCTCAGAGCCTGGAGCCTATTTCAGAGTCTGTGTCTCCCTCTCTCTTTCACCCTCCCCTGCTCACACTGTCGTTCTCTCTATCTCTCCTAGAAATAAATAAAATTATTAAAAAAAAAAAAAAGAAAAAGAAAAAGACTCTTGGAGATGCCCAATGGCCCACGTTCTGCCAGGAACCCACGGCAGCCGGGGGCCCTGGCCATGTTCTGAGAGGTCAGGCTACACTGGGCCTTCCCCCATCTGTCACACCGCAAACCCAAGACCCCACTCCTGGAGCCCAGGACAGAAGCAGGGCCCCAGGGCCCGAGCCACTCACCTCTCTGGCCTGGGGGGCAGTGGGTACACACCACCTCCCCTGTCTCTGGGATGGCAGTGCAGGCCGATTGTCCGGGGCACGGACAAGGCTGACAGTCGTCGGCGTGGCCTGCGAAGGGGTTGCCATAGAAACCCGGCAAACAGCGCTCACAGGAAGGGCCCTCGGTGTGGTGGCCGCACAAGCAGATCCCTGAGGGGCAAGACAAGCGCCTGGTTATGACCGCCTGAGCCCAGAATGTTCCAGAAACAGCGAGCGTCTTGGTGGTCGGGGTCACAGAGCGTGTCCCCAAGCAGAATTGAGCTGGGAGCCCCCCAAGGTGGAGGCAGCACCGCCTGGGGATGAAAAGGTCCACCCTGGGTTCACATCCACCACTCACTGACCGAGAAAGCTGGGAAAACCACCTAACACCCCTGCCTCAGTGTCCTCACCTGCAAGATGGACACGACAATGGCTCTGACCACTAGGGTTTTGGTTGGGATTCGGCAGGACTGGGCAGCCGGAGTGCCCTGCATAGTGTCTGGCACACGGCACGATCGTTACTGTTATCGTTAGTATTTTGTTCTTCAACCTATAACCAAACCACCAGACGACCTGTCCGCGTGGCCACTCACGGTTTTCGTGCCCTTTCCTCTGTGTCCTCATAACCTCAGGGGCCAAAAGCAAGAGTGACACAGACCCCTGGGGCGCCTGGGGGGCTCAGTCAGTTAAGTGTCCGACTTCAGCTCAGGTCATGATCTCACGGTTCGTGGGTTTGAGCCCCGTGTCAGGCTCTGTGCTGATGGCTCAGAGCCTGGAGCCTGTTTCAGATTCTGTGTCTCCCTCTCTCTGACCCTCCCCTGCTCACACTTTGTCTCTCTCTCAAAACTAAAAAAACATTCAAAAAAAATTTTTTTAAATAAACAAGAGCAACACAGACCTGGGGGTCTGTTCCCACCATGAGCTTGTAAAGAGGCTCTACAGGCTCAGAGGCTGGCTGGTCTCATAGAGCAAGCCCCACCCCCCACTCGTTTCTCACGCTGGGGGGGGGTCTGCAAGCCCCCTTCTCCAGACCTGGAGTCTGCACAGAGCCTCTGCCCCAGAGAAGGGAGGCCCCACTGCCAGGGCCTGAGTGAGAAACCTGGCTGAGAAACCCCACTTCCGGGAGGCCCCCACTTCCAGGAAGCCCCCCAACACGCGGCTGAGGCCGAGGTGAACAAGGAACAGAGAGGGAATTCGGGGCAGACGGGGGAAGAGGGGAGCCATCCTGCCCGTGCTGCCTTCCCCTGGTCCCCGCCTCAGCCCAGATCCACACGCTCACACCTTCTTCTCTCCAGCATGAGCAGCAGTGGGCATTCACCCCGTTTGACAGACGAGGACTGGCCCAAACTGGGCAGGAAGTCATGGCATGGTCACCACTTCTGAGGGATGACAGGCTGGCCCCACGCCACGCTCCCTCGGTCGGGGCTGCCCGGACCAGCACATGTTGGGATTATGAGGCCTCATCTGGGCTCGATTCGTGATGCCTGCCATGGCCAAGGCGGGGAGGAGGCCCCTCACGTACCGTGTGCCCGTCCCCCCCCGGCCAGACTGCTGATTCCCAGCTGCTGTCCCTCGTCCACTCCGCTGTGGGGCCTGAGAGCAGCTGAACGGTGCATCTGGCTTCTCAGAGACCCCGCCTGCCCCCGGAGGGCAGCAGGGCGCCGACCCTCTCACTTCTGGTGTGAGAGGCCCACGGAGCGGACAGAGGCCAGGGTCCGGCCCCCATCCAGCACCTCCCGCCTAGTGACCTCCGTGGAAGGCTCTCTCTGGGTCTCCTCCTCTCCTAGTGAGGACTGACCTTGTGGCGGGAGCAGCTCTGCCACCTGCTGGCCGTGCAGGCTCCCTGCGCCCTGGGTCCCTAGACTAAGACCTGAGCTTGCAGGAATCAATGACGCAGCGTGTAGAAAGGTGCCCGGCCCGGGGAGGACCTCGGGGACACCACCTTAGTAGTACTGCTCTTAGTGACCACTCACACGTGCCCACGGCTGACCCTGTTGGGGTCAGCACTCACCTGCTGTGCTGGGTGTGGCCCAGGTGGCTTTGAGGGGGGCGGGGGGCAGGACTCACCTGTGTGGGGGTCACAGGTGCCATGCTGGTTGCAGGTGCAGGGGACACAGCTGGTATAGGGACCCCCCAGTGGTGTCTCCCTCTTGTATCCTGGAGCACAGGATTCACAGAACTGGCCTGCGTACCCCGTGGGACATGAGCAAGTCTCGACCCAGGAGGCTGGCGGGGAGAGTCCCCGCTGGGCTGACGTGAGCCGGACCTCAGTCAGGTACACCCGGCCTGCAGAATGGGGACAGAGAGGAAGAGAGTTACAGGCACATGTTCCCCCCCCCCACCCAAGACCTTCCTGTTCACACATGGAACAGGCAAACGGTCACTGGCACACAGATAAAAAGGCAGCATGTGGGTCAATTAAGATTTTTAACAAAACAGACAGAAGGCAAAGGAAAATAGGTAGTGGTTTTTTAAGAATATTTTTTAAATGTTTATTCATTTTTCGAGAGACGGAGAGAAACAGAGCATGAACAGGGGAGGAAGAGCAGAGAGTGGGAGACACAGAATCTGAAGCAGGCTCCAGGCTCTGAGCTGCGGGCACAGAGCCCGATGCAGGGCTTGAACTTACGAACTGCGAGATCATGACCTGAGCCAAAGTCCGATGCTTAACAGACTGAGCCACCCACAGGCCCCCAAATAGGTAGTCTTTAGGTTTGTTCATTTTTTTGTTTTGAGAGAGAGAGTGAACAGGGGAAGGGGCAAAGAGAGGGAGAAAGAGAATTTTAAGCAGGCTCCGTGCTGACAGCAGCTCGACGCAGGGCCTGAACCCACGAACTGTGAGATCGTTACCTGAGCTGAAATCAAGAGTTGGAAGCTTAAACGACTGAGCCACCCAGGCGTCCCTTAAAGAGAGATTTTTTGAGAACAAAAATGGATATGGCTGGGAATTTTCTGGAAAGCCATTCATCCTCACAGGTTATTAGATATGTAAATATAAACAACGATACCGTTCATAACCCTCCGATTGGTAAGCATTGAAGGATCACGGACAGGGAAAGGCGGTGTGGGGAACCCACGCACAGGGCTATAGGACTGTAGATGAGGTTCCATTTCTAGTGAACAGCAGTAGCTCCCGGCAGACCAACCTTCCCCCCAGAAAGCAACCAGAAACTCAGGGCAAAACGGAACAACTATCTGTTAATAACCAGAGCAGGTAGACTGTGGACGGGGGTGGATGCATGTCCCTAGAACAGAGTTTGGTGCAGCCAAAATCTGGCAGCACGTGTCAAGACTTAAAACGTGCACTCTTTGACCCAAAACCTCACATCTCCATGCTGAGGGATCTGCGCTAAAAGACAGACGTGCACAGCAGACAAAAACCTTTACGTCCTCCCTACTCTCGGCAGCCCCGTATGCATAGTGGAAAACTGGAAACCACTTCAAAGCTTATGAACGGAGGGACGGCTGAAACTCTCAGGAGCATCTGTGTCATGGAATGATATGTGGTGGACGGGCAGCCAGCCTTTTCCTACGTGTAAGATGGGTCACAGCTCCCCAAGACACGCTGTTAGCCGAAAAAAGCAAGTGGCATCACATCAGACCGTGTGATCAGATTCCTATAGTTAAAAAGCACAGATGTAAACACACACACACACACACACACACACACACACACACAGATGTAAGACCATGCACTCAGAAAAAGGTGTGGAGAGAGAGGGCCCAGAACGTCATCAGTGGGAAGAGGAGGTGTGTAGCTGGATGGGGAGGGGGGGAGGGGGCGGGAGAGGGAGGGTCAGTATGTCCACCTGCCGCTTCAATTCACCCCAGCACCCAGTGCAGGCCTGGCCTAAGCAGGTGATTTGTACACATCTGTTAACTGAAGGCTGAGTGACAGAAGGAAGCTGTAGAAGGTGCTGGAAAGAGTGGAAATGAAATTCCTCCAAGGAGCCTCAGCAGGGTGACCTGGGGAGCTAGGGAGGCTTTGGGGAGTATGGGCAAGGACGATGGGGATGGGGGCCGCCTGGGTGGCTTAGTCGGTTGAGAGTCCGACTTTCGCTTAGGTAATGATCTCGCGGTTCATGGGCTCGAGCCCCGCATCGGGCTCTGTGCTGACAGCCAGCTCAGAGCCTGGAGCCTGTTTCAGTCTGTGACTCCCTCTCTCTCTGACCCTCCCCTGCTCGCGCTGTCTCTCTCTCCTAGAAATAAATAAAATATTAAAAATTAAAAAAAAAAAAAAGGATGATGGGGATGGGGATCCAAAGAGAAAGGGGAGCTGAGGCGGGAAGGGCCGGCTTATGACCTCCCAAGTCTGACTTGACGGGGCCCCGGGGAACCTGGCCGTCTAAGCTAAGCGATCTTGAAAAGAGCCCATCACCCCCCCCCCGGAAGGAAATCTGTGGCTGTTATGGTCATGAGGAGACCAGGGCCAGGGCTATCAGACGTCCCGACATGAGCAGACGCCCCCTGTGACTTTCAGAGGTCCTGCCGGATGCCAAAGGGCAGGGAAACACCTTGGCCAACATCTGAGCCCCGACCCCAACTCCATTTTACACAGGAACACAAGGCATTTTGGGATAGTCTGGGTGCATATCGAATTGCCTAGCAATGCAGGTCCCCTGAATGCGGAGGGAATCCCACGCTTTGTCTTGCTCAGAATTTTCCTGACAGCCTTTCGCCACTTTGGAAGATCATGCCACTAGCGGCCCCCCAGCTCTTGAAGTCTGTCACCAGTGTGCACCCCGTCTATGCTCTGGTCCCCCTCTGTGACCGCCCCGCTCACAGCGACCTGGCAAACTTTCCCATCTAGTGATGATTCCAAAATGACAAACACAATGGGTTTAAGGAACAAAGGTCGATCCTATTCAGTCGGATGTTTGAAACTGGGTTCAAAGGCTTCGCCCACAAATGAATGGTTACTGTCAAGGCGTTTCCCCCCTAAGGAAACAATGAAACGGTCAAGGCTAAGTCCACCTTCTAAAAGAACCGCATTGACCAAGGTGACAGAGCCAAGGTGACAGAGCCGTATCTCCCTGCCCACTATCTCCTCACTGCCTGGGACCAGGCAAGTCAGTGGCTTCTGTCCCGACATCTCCGTCAGGGAGTGTCCCCACTAGACACCCCTCGGGCAAATCTGCCCAGTGACTGCTGGTACCGACTCTGGTTTTTATTCCAACACTAGTCATCCATGCCTCTGGCTTAGAATTGCCCTGCTCTCTGTGTCTGCAAATGACTCCTGAGTTTCAGTTTCTCTGAAACCCACGGTGAATCATTACAGTGAGGGAAACTCTGTTACATTATGTCTCCAGGATGGTCCTGCCTGCGCACTCACACCCTGGAATTCAATGACTATTTTTCTTTTCCTTTTTTTTTTAATATTTTTATTTTATTTCTAGGAGAGAGAGAGACAGTGTGAGCAGGGGAGGGTCAGAGAGAGAGGGAGTCACAGACTGAAACAGGCTCCAGGCTCTGAGCTGGCCGTCAGCACAGAGCCCGACAAGGGGCTCGAACCCACGAACAGAGAGATCATGACCTAAGAGAAAGTCGGACGCTTAACCGACTAAGCCACTCAGGCGCCCCATCTCCTTTGTAATTTATATTGTGTATGTCCATATGCTCTACAAAATGAAGTACCTATTACCATTTCTTGATGTCAATATGCATCAATATTATTGCAGACCTTTATTCTTATGTTTATGTTTGGAGTTGAAAATTATAT